GCCTACACCCAACCCCCCACCTGGACGCAGGTAGGGAACGACACGTACCGACGCCAACACCTTCCCCGTAGTAAAGTAGACCAACACCCACCCCCCCCCAGGAACTGGCACTTGTGGGGTCACAGCCCGATGGACAGTGCCACTGCTGCCACCCGGCAACCTCGTAGCCACAGACCAGCCAGAGGCAAGGTCCCAGCCCTGGGCTCTCGGACTGGGTATGCACTCAGACCTTTAGGATGGCTGTTCTGGGCAGCCCAGCCCCCTCCCACCCAGTTGGGTCCCCCTCAGCCCAGAGCCACCCGGAGAAGCCAGGCACCAAGGCAGGGACAGAGCCTGCCACCCCCCGGCTAGCTTTGCCCCCTGCAGCCAACTGGCTGTCCCTCTGTCCTCCGCTCCAGCTGACCACCAGGAATATGAAGCTGGCACTCCGACTGCTGGTCTTACTGCCCTGGGCAGAGAAGCGGCAAGCTGGGCTGCCCCCTCTGCCCATCTGCCCGCCCCCCCAGAGCTCCGGCTGCCCGCGCCTGGCGGTGCCCCGATCCCCCAGCTCACCTCGGTGGCGCTGTCTCCTCACCAGAGGCACTGCAGTGTGAGAACTGTCCCGAGGAGCCGGTTCTCAGCTGAAACAAAGAGGTGGGGGAGAGAGAGGGGGGCAGCGGGAGAGGGAGAGAGGGTGAGTGAACAGGCGAAGGAGTGGAGACTAGAGGGGGAAGAGAAGGGAGAGGATGAGAGAGAAGAGGGGAGGGGAGGAGACCGTGTAGAGAGAGAGCCTGACTTCCAGGGACTGATGGGCCAAGGAAAGAGGGAAGAGGAAATGGGGAGGGGGCAAAGGAGGTGAGGGGGCTAGACCAAGAGAGAAGAGATTGTTAGAGGGGCGGGACGCGGGCAAGTGAGAGGGGCGTGGGCAGGAGAGGGAGCGGTGTGAGAGGAGGGCTGCAGGGGCTGGGCTGGTGGGCAGAGGGGCCCCACCCCTGTCCCATGCCAGGCTTCACTACTTGAGTGGGCAAAAGGCCACGAAGGGGAACGGGAGGGAGAGGTGAGCAGCCAGGCGAGGGGTAAGGCGCTGGGCTGTGGGCTGGCTGGGAGGATGGGCCAGGGACAAAGGCGGGAGAAGAACAAAGGTGTCCGAATGGAGGAACCGGCCCCTGCTGACCCCTGGGTGCCGCAGTCTGGAGCGTCCTGGACAGTCTCCTGAATGGAGGGCAGATCCACTCTGAGGTGGTCCAGGCCCTGAAGTGGCAAGTCTGAGGTCAAGGAGAGGGGATGAGGCGTGAGAGTGGGCAGGGGTCCCCTTCATTCTGCTGTGACTGACCACATGTCAGGATGCTGGTGTCACTGTCTCTGGGGGAGGGGATGGTTGATGAGATCCAAAGCCTGGACTGAGAACTACATAGAGGAAGTCCCCTTTTAGGGAAGAGTACTGGGGTCCCCAAAGGAAATGGGGAAGATGGTAGGCATGATGGGGAGGGGGAGGAATAAGGATAAAGGGAGTGCGGAAGCAGGGGAGAGGGTGAGGTGGGAAGGAGGCTGCAAAGGGCGGGTCCAGAGCTGCAGCCCCTTAACAGGCCTGTCTAAAGCAGAAGCCTCCCTTTCCACACCACATGGTTCTTGGGCTGCCTAATGCAGACCTAATGAAGGATAGAATAATGAACCACTTCCCTGCTGCTACCCTCCTGCTGCCAGTGCTGCTGTGACAGGCAAGGGCACCAGGGAAGTCAACTTGGGCTGCAGGGGCAC